CTTGACTTGACTTGTACTGTGACATATACATACCTGCTCTTGCTTGTCTAGCTTTATATATATGCCTATACTCTTGCATGTGAACTGGCCTTTGGCCTTGCTCTTGTGCTCGGACTGTGTGGTGACTTTGTGATCCACCCTGAACTTTGCTTTGCTTTACTTGACTGGTCTTGTGACCCCTTGTTCTCCCCCACTTTGCCTATGGGGGTGTGTCAGAACATATATATAGCTTATACTATTGTGTAGGCTGTAGTGGGGTATCCCATAGGGGGTACAACCAGTTAGGGTTTCCTATTTGTACTCACTTCATTCATAGTTCATTCATTCTCGTTCTATTCTCATCACGACCAACTCCGAACAGCACGGGTTTTTTCGAAAATAGATTTACGGGGAGGTTACCATCAGATTAGGGTCGAACTATCGGACTGCGCCAAAACAGCTTTCCGGACTAGATACGGGTCATTCGAGTACACCGTGATGCCTTTCGGGCTGACCAACGCACCAGCAACATTTCAAATGACCATGAACGAGGCGTTTAGGCCTCTCTTAGATAAATGCGTGATAGTTTACCTCGAAGACATCCTCGTCTACAATCGCGACAAGCAGGAGCACTTAGCAGATCTGGAAGCAGTGTTTAAGATTTTAGACGAGCATCGGCTACTGACAAAGGGTTCCAAGTGCGAGTTCTTTCAGGACAGGTTAGAGTTTTTGGGGCACGTTATTTCGGAGGCCGGGGTCGAAATTGACCCAAAAAGGTTAGACACGATGAAAGCCTGGCACCCCCCGACGAACATCACAAAAATGCAGAGCTTTTTGGGGTTGGTCTACTACGTGCGTCGATTCGTCCCCGACATGGCACTGTTAACAGCGCCGCTGACGGACTTATTACGGAAGGGGGTCGTTTTTACGTGGGGGGAGAAAGAGCATGCTGCCTTCTCTGCCCTGAAAAATATTCTTTGTTCATCGCCCGTCCTGCGCATCGCTGACCCACACCGCCCATTCGAAGTAGTTATCGACACAAGCGACATCGCCATCGGAGCCGTACTGCTACAGGATTTCGGCAACGGCCTTCAGCCCATCGCATACGAGTCACGAAAACTGCATCCGCCCGAGAAAAATTACCCAATACACGACCGCGAAATGCTTGCGATCGTGCATGTGTTCAAAGTGTGGTGCTGTTACCTGACCGGCGCGGACGTGACAGTATGGACAGACCATAAATCACTACAGTACCTTCGCGCACAGCCACACCTCGACCCACGATAGATTCACTGGCTCGATTTCCTCGAGTCCAATTTTCACTACACGGTCACCTACAAAAAAGGAGCCTCGAACGTCGCCGATGCACTGACCCACCCCACTTCAAAGATCCACGCAATACTACTCGCCCAGACCAGCCCCCTACCGACAGACCAGTTTACCCACGGGTACCAAACGGATCCATTCTTCACAGGAGGCAATTCGCGGCAGTTCGCAGCAGTAAGGGGAGTCAATTACGTAAAAGCCGAGATCGACCACATCTGGGTGCCTGGGTACAGACTGCTACGGGAATTACTGTTACAGAAGGCACACGACGAAGTTACTTCGACACATTTCGGGGTAGAAAAAACATGGCAGCGGCTGCAGCGGTATTATTACTGGCCCGAGATGTTGACCGAAGTACAACGACACGTAGCATCGTGTCCCACTTGCCAACTGATGAAATCGTCACGAAAGCGGCCGGCAGGACAGTAGCAGCTGATACCACCCCCAGAGCGTGCTTGGCAGCAGGTGACGATGGACTTCGTCACGGGGTTACCGGCCGGGGCAAGTGGGAACGACGCGATCCTGGTCGTCGTCGATCGACTGACGAAAATGGCACATTTCGCAGCCTGCAAGAAATCGATCACAGCCGAAGAAACATCCCACCTCTTCATCGCCACCGTCGTACGCCTGCATGGGATACCAGTAGCGATCATCGGCGACCAAGACACGAAATTCACCAGCAACTTCTGGCGGAACCTGTTGCAGCAGTTTGGCACGCGACTAGAGTTGAGCTCTTCGTACCACCCCGAAAACGACGGACAGACATAACGGACAAATTAGACCATGGAACAACTCATCCGAGCCACGTGCGATGACCCGACCACCTGGGAACAGCAACTCCCACTCATCGAGTTCGCGTACAACAATTCACCTTCTGCCACGACCCAACAGTCACCGTTTTACCTGAACTACGGACAAGACCCGACAGTACCCATGACCCCGAGTCCTGACAACCCAATGCCACGAGCACAATAGTTCGCCGAAATTTTACAAGCAGCACGGACCCGGGCAGCCGACGCAATAAAAAAAATCCAAGATCATCGCTAAACGTAATGCCGATCGCCACCGCAGACCTGTCATTTACCAGCTCGACGGCCTAGTTTTACTTGACACACAGAACCTCCGCCTGCCCATCACCCCAAAACTCCGCCCCCGATACTGTGGACCATTTCGCATCAGCCACATGATCACACCCGTCACCGCCCACCTCCTCCTCCCCGCTGACTGGAATGTCAGTCCCTCATTCCACGTCAGCCTGCTTCGCCCCTACGTCCCGTCCACAAGCCAACTCCCACGCAATCGCCTAGCCAGCATGACACGACCGCCGACTGAACCAATCATCACCCCCGAGAAGATTCTGAGTCACAGAGTTGGCGACTATCGAGGAGCCCGAAGGATCGAGTTCCTGATCCGCTGGAAAGATCGTACACCCACCGAAGACAACTGGGTTCCCCTGGATAGAATCGAAAACCACCCCGTCCTCACCGAGTATCTGCGCAGCCGAAACTTCAGGGATGTACACGCACTTTCGTAAGGAGGACCTCCTTAGAGGGGGAGGGGTAGTGTATGAAAAAATCCTTTTCCTTATTTTGCGTCCCCGCTCAGCGCGTACACCACTGTAGCACTACAGTCAGCACCGTTACCACTCGCAACTCTCGCATCGACAATCCTCCCGCCACCTTCGCACATCGCACCCCGACCTCACGGCTCGGCGGGTAACCCGCGCTCCGGGCCTCCGCTTCGACACTTTCCCAAATCTCAGTCCCAGGCCCGTCGCGCGACAACCATAGTCCATTACCGTTACCACTGTAGTTTTGCTATATATTCTTCGCTTGCACCTTTGCTCATTATAATTCTCTCTCACTCACTCAATTGCACTCGTAATAGTAGGTCCATATTCACCACACTGCAGGCGTTGGTATCTAGCTGAAACGAACTGAAGCGCTGCTGTTTTCTAGTTCCTTGTTTGAGTTTGCACGTGCCCATGCAACATCAGCTGCCCATGTGAATTCCATTTTGACTGGAAGCCCGTCCTGGGTGTTCCACGCTGGCGGGAGATTTCTTCACTTCCCGCTCCCAGATTTGTGATACAATTGCCTAGATGACACCCATCCTGTCCCGCTCCTACACTACTTCCATTCGTCCCCAGATTCCAACATGACACATGCAGGGTGAAGAAGTACGTTTGCTCGCAAACGTCTCATCCAGTTTTGGTAGTCGTTCCTGCCATGGCTTCGGTAGCTCTTTCGGCCGCCTCGTCACAGTGCCTAACGTGCTCCTCGTGGGCTCGGAGCAACGTCAAAGTGAGCGGTCCTGGCACGAGGTTCTTGTCAGGGCGGAAGCTATCGCTGCCTCTGGCTAGGAAATGCGAAGCGGTCACCAGAAGAAGCCTTAGGCCTGTCGTTGCGGAGAAAGGATCTACGAGCGACTGTAAGCTTTCGCGTTACTGTGAATTCGTGTCCCTCCTTTTTTTCCGCCAAAATATGAAATTGGAATCACTGATGTAAAACGCATTTTTGTTTTCCCTGGACATTTCTTGGATACAGTGGTCACCACGGCAGTGAAGATAGGCAACGATGGACTCGACGCAGCGACGAATCTCGTTCCTGTAAGTCCTCGAGAAGATGAACTAACAGCTTCGCGAATTAAAAATGTTTAAATGCCGAGTTTCCGCCTTCGTCAATGTATTTTACATCGCTGTCGCCACCCTCTCCTCAACCTATTACATGCAGGCCAGCATCCCTCGGCCAGTAGCTAAAGGTGGCGTCGCGCTTCTTTCGCTCGCCATCCTCTTGTCACTCGTTCAGACCATCTTCAACACTTTCGTCAGCCTCCTTGTAAGTGCTCGTTCCTACCTCCGTCATTTTTTTTCTCTCACCATCAGATGTTTGAAACGTCCCGAAGTAGTTGCCCTTGGTTGATTCCGTTTTATTCGGTGGTAGGTAGGGAAGAGGAGAGGGATGAGTTGATGATTGGGAATAAAGGCTTGAGACGAGGAGTTTTGGGGATTTGAATACATGTTTATACTTATGAATGTGCATGGTTGTGCAGTTCCTCGGAGGCCTAGGATACTTGGCGTTCCAGTACCTCTCCAAGGATGGCAAGAGTTCTTCAGGAAGTTCAGGTGATGACCCCCTTGATGAGGCTCGCCGCATTTTGGATAAGTACAAGTGAGCTGTAGCTTAGTATTTCCACCAACGTGTGACAGGACCTGTTTCGTCAAGCATGATGAACGGAAAGCCGTTTTGTTTGTGAATATATACCCACCATGTTTCTTGTAACTTATTGCAGAATATGCACCACCTCAGTTCTGTGACTGAGTGCTAGGCTTGTGCATACCGCATATTTAACACTGCAAAGCGGCAAACGAATAGCGAAGATGCTCGAACCGAGCCATACATCAGGAATGTTTCTAGAAACTGTCGCTGCCGCGCCTTCCCTGACAAGCCTCGAAATTGCCGAATTTGCATGTTCTGGAATCCACCTGCAACCGAATCATCTCATCCATCGCCGCACATCGCACACTCCACGCTATCTTTAGTTTGCTCTCACCAGCTCCACACAGCATCACTGATACTACTCTTGGCAGCATCCAGAACCTTCAATCTGCGCTACTTACGTTTGTTTCTCTCATCAGAACCTTACTGTCGGAATCTTAGAGTGTCACAGCGATCTGGTAGCCCCAGTGTGCAGCCATGGACGCGCAGAAGATAGCAGAGCTCAAGGCCTTCGTGCAGCTCTGCCAGAAAACCCCCGCCATTCTCGCCGACCCGAAGCTCGAGTTCTTTCGTGATTATCTCGAAAGGTTGGTGAATTCCTGGGAGTCGTCGTGTAGAAACATCGTTATTCATCCCCGCGTCAATCGGTTCGTAACGACATCAGAAGTGGTTGGTATGAGCTATGAAGGCGAGGGAGGCTTCAGCTGGCAAGAGATTCAGCAATCCGTTTCGGAGAAAGAAAAGGCCGACATGCGTTCAAACGAGGGATGTAGGATTGATTGGGGGTTACGATGATCTAGCCTTATGCCGACCGAGCTTGTTCTGAATCCGGCGCCGGTGTTCCTTCGGGAATAAATCTGGTTTTACCAGATTCGGATCCATCGAGTTTGGAGCAGGTTTTGTTCAGTACGCCGGATGTTCTTGATATTGATGTCATTTCTTTGGTAGCTATTTCGGGTTTAACCCGTCTATTGCACTCTTTCGTCTCGCCGTGAAGTCTCGTTTTCTTTCCAACATACTTTTCCGTCACACATGCCTATTGCCTTTTTCGTCACCCAACCCGTCCTCCCTCGTCCCTCTCCCGCATCCTTCATCCATCATTTCCCATTATTCTGCCGTCTCCCCTCGTCTCACTCGTCCACTGTTCATCTTCCCCCATCTCCCTCTCCTCATCTCACTCGTCTCTCGGCCAGTCTGAATGCGGAGGTGCCAGGGGAGGCGTACGGCCTGAAGACTGGCGCCGCACCCAAGGTACGCATGGCGTGGTTTTACTTCTGAGACGAATCAAAAAAAGGGGTTCAGAAAGGGGAAGGGGGTGGGGGATGGGGGGGGGTGTGGTGGGGTGGGGGGTGATGGGCAGTACATCAGCGCAGCTCCCGCTGTATTAAGTAGCAAGTGATTCGCATTCACAATCCCAGCTGCATATCACACTTCCGCTTGGCTAAAAATACGTGATCTCATTTATTTTTTTATTCCATTTCGTGACAGGCGGAGGAGAAGGCGGAACCAAGCAAGATGGAATCCGAGGCGAGCAAGGTGGAGGAGCCAGAGGAGGAGGAAGAAGAGGAGGAAGAGGAGCCTGAAATCGTGGAATCTGACGTGGAGATAGACGAGGAGGGCGTGGTGGAGGGGGACAGCGACCCCCCGCAGCAGATGGGCGATGCGAGCAAGGAGGTGGGCGAGGAGCAGAGGGACGCCGCTCAGGCCGCCAAGGCCCAGGCCATGGAGGCCCTGGCTGAAGGTGCGTGGTTGGCGCTGTGTGGCCTTGCGGAGTGTGCCGTGTGTGCTGTGTGTGCTGTGCATCCTCATACCAGGAGCGTGCGTGAGCTGCACAGGCCGCCAAGGCCCAGGCCATGGAGGCCCTGACTGGAGGTGCGTGGGTGGCCCTGAATGGGTGGCAGCAGATGGGCGATGCGAGCAAGGAGGTGAGCGAGGAGCAGAGGGACGCCGCGCAGGCCGCCAAGTCCCAGGCCATGGAGGCTCTTGCGGAAGGTGCGTGGGTGGTTCTGGGTGGGCTTGCTGTCTGTGCTGATATGATGCCACGAGTGCCTGAGCTGTGTACTGGGAACGTGCGTGCTGTGTGCAGGCTGCCAAGGCCAAGGCCATGGAGGTTCTCGCTAAGGGTGCGCAGATGGCACTGGGTGCGCGGATGGCACTGGGTGCGCGGATGGCACTGGGTGCGCGGATGGCACTGGGTGCGCGGATGGCACTGGGTGCGCTGCGCTCGCAGTGCGTGCTGTCTATATACCAATACCATGAGTGGCGCATTTGCTCCTCCCGCCCACCAATTCCTTCCTCCCCACTTCACCCTTCGCCCTTTCGCCACCCCCTGTGCAGCCGTGCCCATTAGCCAACCTAGAGGTGGCAGTGACTTTTGAGTCGACTGAAAAGTCACCTCATTAGCCAACCTAGAGGCAGCAGTGACTTTTGAGTCGACTGAAAAGTCACCTCATTAGCCAACCTAGAGGCAGCAGTGACTTTTGAGTCGACTGAAAAGTCACCTCATTAGCCAACCTAGAGGCAGCAGTGACTTTTGAGTCGACTGAAAAGTCACCTCATTAGCCAACCTAGAGGCAGCAGTGACTCATCTTCTTTTCCCACCATTTCCGTCCTGCCCACTCCCCCCCCCTCCTTCACCCTCCCCGGTTGGTCCCACCCCACCCCCCCTTCATGCATCCCCTGCGCCCATCAGACAACCTAGAGGCGGCAGTGGCGCATCTCACAGAGGCCATTCTCAACAACCCCACCTCTGCGCTGCTGTACGGCGGCACCTTTGTAGCACCTCAAACACTCCATCCCTCACCCTCTCCTGTTCACCCGCCCCCATTCATGCCCCGCTGCGCCCATCAGACAACCTAGAGGCGGCAGTGGCGCATCTCACAGAGGCCATTCTCAACAACCCCACCTCTGCGCTGCTGTACGGCAACCGAGGTGAGTTGCTAGCTGAAAGCAGGATTTTCCCAGCTGAGGGGTCTATGGCAAGCCAGGTGAGCGCTGCTGAGGGGTCTATGGCAAGCCAGGTGAGCGCTGCTGAGGGGTCTATGGCAAGCCAGGTGAGCGCTGCTGAGGGGTCTATGGCAAGCCAGGTGAGCGCTGCTGAGGGGTCTATGGCAAGCCAGGTGAGCGCTGCTGAGGGGTCTATGGCAAGCCAGGTGAGCGCTGCTGAGGGGTCTATGGCAAGCCAGGTGAGCGCTGCTGAGGGGTCTATGGCAAGCCAGGTGAGCGCTGCTGAGGGGTCTATGGCAAGCCAGGTGAGCGCTGCTGAGGGGTCTATGGCAAGCCAGGTGAGCGCTGCTGTGTTTCCTCCTCGCCTGGTCTCTAGATGCTGTGTGCATCAGTGAGCTTTCTCAATCCCTTTCCACCCTTTGTCACCTCCACCGCTTCGACTCGTTCTGCAATTTCGGCCCCTTTCACTCCCTTCCACCCCCTTCTAACCCCTTCCAACCCCTTCCACCCCCTTCGAACCCCTTTCAACCCCTTCCACCCCTTTCCACCCCCTTCCACCCCCTTGTACCGCTTGTCGTGCACAGCTGGGGTGTTTGTGCGCATGAAGAAGCCCAATGCTGCCATTCGGGACTGTGATGAGGCTCTCAAGGTGAGTGAGAAAGAGAGTGAGTGAGTGAGTGAGAAAGAGAGACAGTGAGTGGTGAGTGAGTGGTGAGTGAGTGAAAGAGTGAGTGTGGAACGATCTTACAGGTGCTCACCTTGTGCTTTTTCTAAGTTACATGGAACCCAGGGCGCACCGCCTGTAGGAGCACCAGCAGCTGTTTCTCGACCCATCTTGCCTCCTCGCTCCCTCCCTCTGCTTTCATCGATCCGGTTCCCTTCCCGGACGATCCGGTTCCCCGTCCGGATGGTCCGATTGATCCGGTTCCCGACCCGGTACCCCGCCCGGTTCCCCACCCGGATGGTCCGGTTGGTCCGACTCCCCACCCGGTCGATTCGGCACCCCACCCGGATGACCCGGATGATCCGGTTCCCCGTCCGGATGGTCCGGTTGATCCGGTTCCCGAACCGGCACCCAACCCGGTTCCCCACCCACTGAGGTGACTTTTGAGTCGACTCAAAAGTCGCTTGTAGGAGCACCAGCAGCTGTTTCTGGACCCATCTTGCCCCCTCACTCCCTCTGCTCCTCACTGCCGATCCCTTCCAGCTCAACCCTGATTCCGCCCGCGCCTACAAGTCCCGGGGAGAGGCCAAGGCCCTGCTCGGCCAGTGGGAGGCGGCAGCAGCTGACCTGCGCCTGGCCTCCCGCCTGGACTATGACGAGGAGGTGAACTCGTTCCTGAAGCTCGTGGAGCCCAAGGCACACCGCCTGGAGGAGCACCGGCGCAAGTACGACCGGCTGCGGAAGGAGCGCGAGGAGCGCGTGGCGGCCAAGGAGAGGCAGCGGCGCAGGAAGGCGGCGCAGAAGGCGTATGAGGAGGAGAAGAGGAGAGAGGAGGAGCGGCACAAGGCGTCCAGAGGGGCTGGGGGCGGTGGGGGGTTCCCTGGGGGTTTCCCAGCGGGAATGGGGGGTATGCCCGGGGGGTTCCCTGGAGGAATGGGGGGTATGCCGGGGGGTTTCCCAGGGGGGATGCCAGCAGGGATGGGGGGCATGGGGGGGATGGGAGGGATGCCTGGGATGGGCGGTGGTGCGGGTGGCGGCATGCCGGACATGAGCCAGATGCTGAATGTGAGTGATCTTGTTGGATGATTTGATCGGCATGTGTGCTGTGCTCAAAGTGTGCGCTTTGTTCAAACCAGAAGCTCCCATCCAGCTGTTTTCATGATCCCTTGAATGTGAGTGATCGTGTTGGATGTGAGTGATCGTGTTGGATGTGAGTGATCGTGCTGGATGTGAGTGATCGTGTTGGATGATTTTGTCGGCATGTGTGCTGCTGAAGCTGCAAGATGGGAACTGCCGGGTTCAACTGTCTCAAGTGGCTTTTTATACTCCTGTTGACTTGTGTTAACTCTGTTAGAAGCCTGTTGATTGCTTTTTACTCATGTTGAATTGGTAACTCCTGTTGAGTTGTGTTGACTTGTTGACTCCTGTTGACTCAAATTGACCTGCCACGTGTGAGTGCAGGACCCTGAGCTGCTCGTGGCATGCATGTGTGGACATTAACCCATTGATTTCTGTTGACCCATTGACTCCCGTTGACTCCTGTTGACCTGCCACGTGTGCATGCAGGACCCTGAGCTGCTCATGGCGCTTCAAAACCCCGCAGTTATGGCAGCTATGCAGGATGGTGAGTGGACAGTGGTGGTGAGGGGTAATGAGTTGTGTTGCGGGGCAATGAGGGGTGACGAGGGGTGTTCATGGGTTGTTGATGGGTGACGATGATGAATGATGGGGATGATGGGTGATGATGGGAGATGGGTGATGATGGGTGATGATGGGTGATGGCTGTTGTTGGTGCTTGAGGAACTGTGGTGGTGATTCGATTGTGCGTTAATGGTAGAGTGATGATGTGGGATGGATGGCGATGCTGCGTGATGTTGCTAGATCAGGCGTTGATGGTGGTTCGTGTGAACCTCACTCATCTTTGAGGCGCCTCAAAAATGAACCTCTCTCATCCTCCCTCCCTCCCCCCCTTCCCCTCCCATCCACCCCTCCCGCCCACCGCCCCCACCATGCAGTCGTGAAGAACCCGGCCAATCTGCTCAAGTATCAGAATGACTTTACTGTGGGCCCAGTGCTCATGAAGCTCATTTTCACTCTCCTCCCCCTCCCCTACCCCCCCCCCACCCCTGCCTTGCACTTTCAACTCCTCCTTCACCCTCCCTCATTCCCCACCCACCAGTCATGAAGAACCCGGCCAATCTGCTCAAGTATCAGAATGACCCCACAGTGGGGCCAGTGCTAATGAAGCTCATGTCGAAGTTTGGTGGCGGCGCTGGTGGTGGCATGTAGGGTCATGCCATGTGCTGAGGTCGTATCTGTCATTTTGGGTGTGAGTCAGAACGACCCCACTGTGGGGCAAGTGCTCATCAAGCTCATGTCTAACTTCGGTGGTGCTGGCGCTGGTGGCATGTAGAGTTGTGCCGTGTAGCTTGTGAAGCTAATGAGACTCGTTTCCAAGTTCAATGGTGCTGCTGGTGGCGCTGGTGCTGGTACCATGTAGAGCCGCGTCGCGTGCTCATGAGGTTACATGTTCTCGATTAGCGCATGCTACTTAGGTTTGAGTTGTAGCGACATGTGTAGTGTATGGGTGTTTAACAGTTAATTCTGTTGTGAGGGACCATCTCTATTGGACGAACTCACCAAGTGTACACCGACTTACGTCGTAAATGAGGAGGTTCAGTGAAAACTGTTATTGGTACACCGACTTACGTCGTAAATGAGGAGGTTCAGTAAAAACTGTGATTGTTGTTGTCATTTTAGGTCTGAAATCCATGTGGAACTGAATGTACCTTACAATATGCCGTGACTTCCGCAAGGCAAAAAGTATCACACACATAATATGCCTAAGTGTATGTCGCGATGAGTGTGTTGACAGTAGGTTCAGTAAAATTTCATCAATGTACAGTCTAATCAGTACGGCTCAAATCATAATACGTTGCCCATATCAACATTTATCGACAACCTAAGGAGTGGTGATCTTAAACCGCGTATCAACAAAGGACTCGATGTCCCACAGGAACCCCCCAAACGCGACAGCTTCGAGCACGAGGCGTCGCAGCGTGCTGACGGTGAGGCGCGCCGCGTCGTCCTTTACGACCGCTACACCCTCCTGGTTCGCCTCCACCTTGGGCTTGCCGAACAGCGCCTCCGTGTGCCGCTCGATCACCTCCACACTCTCCCTGGCGAGACGAGTGAGGGGAAGCGGGTACAGGGGAGGAAAAAGGTACAGGGGGGTGAGGGAGGAATGAATGAGTAAAACTCCTCAGCTCGTGACAACTAGATGGCACTAGGCGGGGAGGGTGCAGAGGCCATATCGTCCTACCATCACCGAATGCCCAGCTGCCAAGATGTAAGGCCTGTAAACCTCTCCCCTAATCCCGCTCCCTCCCAATCATTCTCACTCCCATATCTCATCCCACCACACCAACTCCTTCCCTCCCTTGAGAACTTACTTGCTTCTCATCGTGGCCGTCATTTGTAGAGTCTCCGGGTCAAACGACTGCACATAAGCGCGCAGCGTCTGCTCCGCCTTTCCCTCCTCCTCCCCTTCCCCCTCCTTCTCCCCCTCACCTTCCTTCTCCCCCTCTCCCTTCACCTCCTCCACTACCTCCTCAGGCGGAAACACCACCTGCTGTGCCCCCTCCTCCCCCTCCGCGTCCCCCTTCGCCGCCGCGCTCCCCACGAAACCCCTAAGCATCCCAATACTTTTCTCCAGCTGGAATCGCTGGTCCACGCGTCGCAGGAAATACCCGTACATAATCGACGCCGCGTACACCTGTCCTAGCCGCAGCTTGCTCGTACCCACCACCACCCTGTCGTCGTTAATTAAAGCCGCCATGGGGCCCGTCGGACGCGGTCCGAGAATAGTAGCCAAATGCTCCTTAACCATGTCTAGAGCCTCCTCGGAATGGACGCTGGATAACTCTTGCTCTTTAACGGGGACGGTTGGAACGAGGTCCAGGCCGAAGGGTGAGGTGGCGGCGGACGGGAAGAGCGTGGACGACGGGTCGACGGTCACGAAGGGCACTTTTGGGAGGAGCGGCGCGCCGGACTCGATGAACTTTTGGACTATTAACGCGTACATGACCTCCTTGATAGCGCGCATACGCTCGCTGTTCCGCACCTCCGCCATTCGCCTGCGTTGATGAAAAGGCAGCGAGTCGGAGCAGCAGCGAGAGGGGCATAACGGTGAGAATTTCAAAATGATGAAATGAACAGAGTGCGAACAGAGCGCGGAGGCAAGCTCAAAGAACGGAGGAATTTCAGAATTGTGTAATGAAGGATGCTCAAAGAAATGTAAACTCGAAGAAATGGAGGAAACTCAAGCGAAATTTTCAGTACACACAAGGATAATCCCAGTAGAGCTTGCAGCCACTGAGGCTTGAATTGAGCGGACGGCAGGTGCGAACCGGCATAATGCGTGTTTGCGGTCCACCGCAGCTGCAACAGTGACACATCTTTTTTGGGTCGTTCAGTGTTTGTCCCTTGGTGCTATGCTCTTGCTCGCACTGTTCCTTCTACGCTGCCAAGTGCTCAGTACGCGCCATCTTCATCAGTTGTAACGGGCGTGTCATCTCAACTCACTTGTACAGAACGAGGTCGCTGCTTGACTTCTTCGCGCCGCTCTCCTTCGGGGCGTCCGTCGCCTCCGCCTCCGCTGCGAGTTGCTCCAGCTGCTGCTCCGCCGCCGCCGGCACCAAATGCGGGTGCGACAGAATCAACTGCTCCAGGAGAATTCCAGAAGGCGACTCGGGACTTAGCGGAGCCGCCTTAGCAGCTTCGTCTTTCGTCTCAGGAGTGTTGTCTGGAGAAGGGGAGCCAGAGTCGGTCGACATGGCGAAGACTCGCGACATGCGGCGACGGGAGAACGAGTTCTTCCTGCACGAGGTGGAAACCGCGCCTCGCAAAATTCGCAAGCCTGTAATTTCTGAGTTGACGGAATGCCATGACGCCTTGGCCTGTAGCCGGCGAGCGGGGGTGGTTCTGGGATTATTTAGACAGGCTGCAACGGCTGGCGACTGAAGCCGCTGAACAGCCATAGACGAAGCGTGCGCCATGCTTCTGTGCGAGGTAAGCTGAGATATGTGACTGAATCAGTTATTTCAGACGCCGAGTTCGCCGGAGGTTCAAAGAGCTCAACTCGTTGTGACACAACAAATTCTTAGGGTACTTGAAGCTAAAATGGTGGACTCGTTCGCGAGGTCTCTCCTTATGAATGCAGTACTGAGCAGACAAGTTCAGGACTGACGAGACACTCGTCCGGAATTCGAGGAGAGATTGCACCTGGATTCCTAAAAAGGAGGATGATGAAAATGAGAGGAAAGAGAACGGAGGATATAGACAGCGGTGCGACTGCAAGTGAAGCAGAGGGGTGGGAGCGCGTGTAAAATAAACGGAAGGTGGAGCAAGAGGCAGGAACGTGTTCCATTGGTGGCAGACAAGATGACGATGATGACGAATTTTCGAGAAACCGCCAGAGCACACGCAACCGCGTCACCGGCAAAGAATCCTGTCTACGTGGGGATTTGACGACGTGTCTATCGCTCTCGTCCAGGTTGCAGTGTGCGGATTACGGCATTTAAGTGGTACACGTGGATTCTCTTAAAGATTGTTGGGATGAAATAACACGTGTCGTATCGTCCAAAGCTCAAGGAATTTTGTCGACCTGGCAGGCAGATGAGACTGCAGACGCTCCGTTTGCTGACCAAGAATCGAGGCACCAGCCGTGGCGACATCAATTGATCCGCTCCTTTTTCAAAGCGAAAACACGACTAGAGGATATACGCTTAGCGAGTACGCCTCACCCTTCAGTTTCGATGGATGCCATGCGATGCCAGGTTCAGCCGGCGAATCCTCTCCTCTCCCTCCACCCTTTCTGAATCCCAACCAATCCCTGTTGTACTCCCAATGGGAGGGAGGGTAAAGTGGGGAAAGTGGAGGGGAGGGGGAAAGTGGAGTGGTGCTATGTATGACGCAGTTCCAGTGCAGTACCAAGATTCTAAAGGTGAGAAACGTTTCAAAGCGGTGATGTTCGGGATAAGGTGAACATCTCCCCGACCATCTGTAGAACCATGTCCATACACACGATGCTCAGCTGTTGCACGCACATTTGGTCTGCCCATATTTGACAGCCTGCCCATATTCGACAGCCTGCCCAATTGCATTTGGTACCAGATAGTTGCACGCACGATACAAGCCCATATTTTGATCGCAGCCGTTGAACATAGAGCTTATCACGCTGGCATCTGTCCGTTCGTGAGATATTTTGAAGGCGCTGGTTACATTTCTTCACCTGCCCACTACAGACCCGATTTTGCCCGTGGCGAATGTTGGCGAGCAGGCGAAAAAGCTGTTTCTCACTAAACACCTAAATGATGAAAAAAGTTGTGGTTACTTAGCGGGCATCGTGTGTACCTGAAAATGTGGTGAGCAAATGAATGTTGCGTTTGTGTGATGCAGTTGAGCTTGGTGCTTCGCGTTTTGGAGAAAACACATGTTCCAAAAAGGTTATGTACGGTGCTAAAGCTTGTCGCTAAAGGTACTTATCAGAGCACCCTGGTACTGTTGATCCATAATTTAGTGTCTAACACTTGAAATAGTCACATCAGCCTATCTATGTCGATGTTGAATGTCACAGTAGTTTCATTGTTTCGGACCCTCTGAAATGGCGATCTTAAACTAGCGCGTCTCACACACTCGTCGATGATGAATCGCGGTCCGGGTTACTGGAGAGGCTTCAGGGGTTCCCGAGCAGCGTTTAAGAAGCAGGCCAAGTTCAAGGCGTGCCAGTCGATACTTCTCTGCATTCTCGTCTTCTTTGTTATTCATGTGATTGTAAGCCATCAAAACCGAGGTGAATTTTGAGTCGACGACTCAAAGTCAACCTTGTTCTTCGTGTGATTGTAAGCCACTATAGACTGCAATCATGATCTCCGTCGTCGTCCTCTTCCCTCTTGCGTGATCCGGCTCTGATCATCCCCAAGTGCAACGCGTTAAACCTAGTTGGTGGTTACTGGTTGTAACGAACTACCTCTCGGTCGTCTCGAAGTGGACCTTACCTTGAACCTTCGGAATGGTTCTTTCTTTTATCTCCTTCGCGAAGATCTTTGATACACTGAAACCGCAGACCGATTGAAGCATCCGTTTGCACAAACAGGCGATTGTTACCTTGTTTCATCGTCTCGCACAAGCCCTAGCCTTGTATCTCAGATCCGTTCGCTGCCTCGTTCCTGACGCGTGCTTCGCATCCCTGACACTTCCCTATGACGACTGCCCGTTACACATGTCAGAGGCTCCTTTGTTGTAGTTCTGTGTGTGTGTGCAACACACACGTGTTCTCCGCATGTGAGCGGATGATATTGGGTTCGGCATTGACGTGATTTTTGTGTCGACTCCTGGACATGTACTCAACGCGTGGTCTTGTAACCTATACTGAATCCCATCATGCGTTACAACGCGTACGTGTGCCCTTCTTCCCGTTATTGTGCACAGTTCACATCGTCCAAGAGGTCCGCATCAACGCAGGCAGTGAACAAGCTCAAGAGCCTCACCAAGAGACTGCCTGAGGTGCGCAAAGGGCAAGGGGCAAAGGGCGGGGGGCAAGGGGACTCCACCCGAGGCTGGCAAGCAGCTTATGGAAGACCGTGGATGGCTGCACTGGCAAGCCATGGGCCACGGTGGCATGACCTTTTCACCTTTACCCTCTTTGCAATCACGTGAAATCCTCTGAAAGAGAAGAAACGATGCACACTCACTCAATTGCTGCTGTTCTTGTGCTGCTCATATCCATGGCTGTTTGGCTGCTGGTATGTTCAGGCAGGGGCGAGCAGCCGTTTGGCCACGGCAACACAGGCCATCCATCAGGAGATCAGTGAGTGACGCCTCTCACCCCAATGCAATTTGCCCGCTTTCTGGCCTTCTTTTAGAATTCTCAGAACCAGCTTGTATCATTTGGCCACGGCAACACAGGCTATCCAACAGGAAATCAGTGAGCATCCCTCCGCCCCTCCCTCTTTTCGATTCACCCTCCTCGCTTTCTCTCTTCAGCCTTTTTGCTTTGTCCAACCTCCTTTCGAAACGTCGTGCGTTTCCCATCCCATCCCGTCCCAAACTTTGCCCAGCATGTGCACTGATTGCCCTTCACACGCTCCACGCCTCTCCACATCGGTCATGGATATCCCCTATCATTCCTCGTTTGCCTCAAATACCTGTGATCACTTTCAGAGTCGATCTGAGCTAACTTCTACTTCACATCATCCCTGCACCCACCCACCCATCGTCTGTCTCTCTGGGACCCTCTGTGTTGACCCTCGTCCCACCAGGTGCGAGGATCACTGAAGCCACGAGCATCACAGCAGATTCCCAGGCAGCTTATGGCGACCCAGGTGGCGCTGGGGGGATGGCCGCGGCGGTGGGGGAAGGAGGAGCGCGCAGAGGAGGATTGGGCGGAGGGGGGATGGGGGGAGGGGGATTCGGGGGAGGGCAGGGGACAGGTGAGGTGACGGGAGGTGTAGCAGGGGTAGCGGGAGAAGGTAGAGGGAATGGATTGAGAGGAGATGCAAGGGCAGAGGCAGGGCGAGGAGCAGAGGAGGGGAGTGAGGTCGAGGTAGAGGAGGAGGAGGAGGGGGACGGGGCTCACCACAGGGACCGAGGGTGGGATGACAGTAGAGGGCGGGAGGAGGGCGCAGGGCAGCAGGAGAGGGGTGGGAAACAGGAGGGCGGAGAGCAGCAGGAAGGGAGAGGGCAGCATGAGGGGCATGGGCAGCATGAGGGGCATGGGCAGCATGAGGGGCATGGGCAGCATGAGGGGCATGGGCAGCATGAGGGGCAAGGGAAGCATGAGGAGGCGGCAGGGGACGGGGCGGAGGGGGATGACGTAGAGGAAGGGCATGGAGAGGGGAAATCGGTGGAGGAGAAGCAGCGGGAGCTGGAGCTGCTACAGGGGCTGCTTAAAGCGGAGATGGATGCGCAGGGTGGGGGGAGATATGGGGGTGAGGGGACAGAAGGCCATGGGGGGAAGGAGGGGAATGAGGGGAATGAGGGGAAGGAGGGGAATGAGGGGAAAGGGTCAGGTGGGAAGGAAAGGGATGATGAGGAGGAGGAGGATCCGGATGAGACGGAGCAATGGGGGGAGGGGGGCGAACGAGTGGGCGGAACGGGGGAAAAGACTGAGAGGGAGAAGAGCATGAGGGAAGGATCGAGGGATAATGGTGTGGGTGGTGGTGGTGCTGGGGTTGGTGGCAAGTTGGCGTCCGAGTCGACAGGGAGGGCAGCAGTGGGAGGGGTTGGGGGAACAGCACGGGCAGATGGTGGTGGGGTGCGTGGAGGAGGGAAGTACGATGAGTGGGAGGAGGAGGGGGCGCTGGCACACTCACAGGGCATGGAGGAAGGGCGAGGCGCAGGGGCTGCTAGGGAGAGAGGGAACGGCAGGGAGATAGGGCGTGAGGATGCAAGAGGGAAGGAGGAGGGGGAAGGAAAGGCGGGGAGTAAGGGCGAGAGTGAGAGTGGGAGTGAGCATGATGAGATAGCGTCGGTGCTGAGAGCCATGGGGCATGCGGTTGGGGATGATGGTGCTGATGCTCATGATGTTCATGATGCTCATGATGCTCATGATGCTCATGATGCTCATGATGCTCATGATGTTCATGATGCTCATGATGCTCATGATGCTCATGATGCTCATGATGTTCATGATGCTCATGATGCTCATGATGCTCATGATGCTCATGATGCTCATGATACTCATGATGCTCATGATGCTTATGATACTCATGATGCTCATGATGCTCATGATACTCATGGTGCTCATGACGCTCATGATACTCATGATGCTTATGATACTCATGATGCCCAGGATACTCATGATGCCCATGATGCCCATGATGACCATGATACCCATGATACGGCTGCTGATGCTGATGTTGCTACCACTGATGCCCATCACAGTACGGCTGCTGGTGGCGCTGCTAGCAGTGCTGGCGCTGCTGCTGGCACCAACTCGTTGCATGAGGGAAGCACACAGCGTGGTGTGAAGCCGGCGGAGGACCAACAGTCAGTGCACGAAGGGGAGGGAGTGAGGGAAGAGGGAGCAGACGAGGAGGGAGGGGGAGAAGAGGAGGAAGGCACGTCGGTGGCAGTGGAGAGAGGGCAGTCGGACCAGCGCAAGCAGCTCATGGAGCAGGAGGCTGCCCGCCGCAGCGTGCCAGTGGCAGGGCACAGAGAGACAGCAGCTGCAGATGCAGGGCTGGTGGGCGACAGAGGTGGGGCAGGAGATGCGGCACTGGTAGGAGACAGAGGGGCGGTAGGGCATGCAGGGCAGGTGGCAGGCGTAGTGCAGGTGGGAGATCCAGGGGTGGGAGGAGACGTGGGGCTGGTAGGGGGTGCTGGAAGGAGAACGGACGGATCTTTGAGTGGAGAGACACGAGCAGCTGCAGCAGAGGCAGCAGCAGCAGCAGGTTTAGCAGGAGGGGAAAGAACAGCAACGCAGGCAGTGACAGGATGGGGCGGGTTGTCGAGAGGAGAAGGCGTTTCAATGGCTTCTTCCCTGCGCAAGGAAGGGGGGCTAGCTGAGACACGTGCGGGGGCAGGTGCGACTGGGGCAGGTGCGACTGGGGCAGGTGCGACTGGGGGAGGTGCGACTTGGGCAGGGTTGACTGGTGCAGGTTTTACTGGGGCGAGTGTGACAGGGAGACAGCAAGAGACTTTTCGAACAGAACATGCAGAGACAAGACAGCAAGGCGTGTCTGGGTGGGCTGGTTTGTCCGTTAGCGGGGCAGGTTCATCTGTAGGCGGGCGGGTGGACGAAGAGGAGGCTCGGAGGGCGGAGCTGCAGCAGCATGGGAGGGCACATTCGGTGGAGGAAGGGGAGAGGCAACAGGTGCTGCACCAGGCGTACAGGCAGCAGCGGCTGCAGCGGCACCAGCAGTGGCAGCAGCAGCAGGACGAACAGCAGAGGTTTCTGCAGCAGCAGCAACAGCCACAGCATTGGCAGGGTGGTGGTGTTGGAGGGGCAGAGGCAGGAATAGGGGCAAGGGCACGGGCAGGGCCAGGCGCAGGGGTAGGAGTTGAGGGAGGGGCAGGGGCAGTGGCAGGGGTGGCAGGGGGGGTGGCATCAGGTGTTGCTGCAGGGCCAGCAATCTCCCTGGCCCATCCAGAGGACTTCCTGGGCGAACCTGAAGAAACACCTGAAGAGGCCTTAGAGAGTGCTGCTAGGAAAGCCAAAGCCGCCGCCGCCGCTGCTGCTGCTGCTGCTTTGATTGGGGAGGGAGGGGGAGAGGGAGGAGACGGGGAGGGAGACGAAGGGGGAGCAGGAGGGGGAGGAGAGGAGGCGGGGGGTGGAGTTGGTATGGGGGACGGGGGTTTGGGGGGAGGGGAGGATGAGGAGGATGGGATGCTGCTGCGGGGGGAGTTTCTTAAGGCTAGGAAGGAGAGTGCTCCCCAGGGGCCTAGTTTTGAGGCGCCTCAAAGGAAGGAGAGTGCTCCCCAGGGGCAGCAAGGGGCAGCGCTTGTGCAGCAGGAGAGGGGACTTGTGCTGCCACAGCAGCAGCAACAGCAGCAACAGCAGCAACAACAAGACCTGCTGCTGCAACAGCAGCAGCTGCGGCTGCAGCTGCAGCAGCAGCAACAGACGAAAACGGCTGCTTGGCAAATGGGAGGTGCTGCTGCTGGTGGTATTAGTGGTGTTGGTGGTGGTGCTGGTCGTGGTGGTGGTGGGTGGAGTGCGATGAGGGCGAGTGGGGCGTTTGGCAGTGGGGGAGGGGGTACCTACGGCAAAGGCCCTGAGGAGGTTCTATCTGGTGCAGGTCGGACTGACGACTCAGCTGCTGCCGCTGCTGTTGCTGAAGGAAGATCAGATATAGGAACAGCTACAGGAACATCAGCAGGAGTAGCTACAGGAGCAGCTACAGGAGCAGCAGCAGGAGCAGCAATGGCAGGGGGAGAAGCAGGACAGGGCGCTGCAGAAGCAGGACAGGGCGCTGCAGAAGCAGGACAGGGCGCTGCAGAAGCAGGACAGGGCGCTGCAGAAGCAGCAACAGCAGGAGTTAAAGCGGTGAAGGTGGAGGAGGAGAGGGGGAATGTGCAGGTGCCGGTAGTTGTGATTGTATTGAAGCCTCGTGTGGGCAAGTGTGCTCCTGGCACCGCACTGCACCGAGTGCTGCAGGTGAGGCCACCCCCATCCCCATCCCCATCCCTTCCCACGTCAATTCCCCATGCCCATCCCTGTCCCATCCCACCTAAAATTCCCATCCCCATCCCCACCCAAAATCCCTATACTCATCCATCGCCACCCAAAATCCTCATCCTCATCCCATCCCCATCCACATCCCATCCCCATCCACATCCCATCCCCATCCACATCCCATCCCCATCCACATCCCATCCCCATCCCCATCCCCATCCCCATTCCCACCTCCCCATTCCATCCCATCCCCATCTCCATCCACCGCAATTCCTCCCCCTCCCTCACAGCAAGCCCGGCAGAGCAACAGCGAGGTGCATCTGGTGGGGTCGAGGGAGTGTGCAGCAGCTGCAGGCGCCATGGGCATGTCATCCTTGCACTATGCCCTCTATTACCATCCCATCCCCCCTCTCTCCCTCTTCTCCGCATGCAATCCCCCCTTCATCCCCCCTCCCCCTCCCTCACAGCAAGCCCAGCAGCGCAACAGGGAGGTGCATCTGGTGGGGCCGAGGGAGTGTGCAGCAGCAGCAGCCGTCCTGGACATGGCATTCACGCGCTACGCCCTCGTCAACCAAACCATTGCCTCGTTCCCATGAAATTCCCCTCCCTCACAGCAAGCCCGGCAGCGCAACAGCGAGGTGCATCTGGTGGGGCCGAGGGAGTGTGCAGCAGCAGCGGGCGGCCTGGGCGTGGCATTCACGCGCTACGCCCTTTTCAACCAAACCATTTCCACCTTCCGCTCATCGTTTGGCACTCCCCGCACCGACCTCGTGAGTTAATGCTCTCCTGCCCACAACTGCTTCTCCTCGCTCCTCTCCCTCTTCTGTCGCGTCTCCCTCCTCTGCCGCAAGCTCTGATTGTCCGAACTCGCACTATCCTCCTCTGTCTCCTGATTCTCCCCTACATTTCCCTCCCCTCTCACGCTTCCCATCCCCCCTTGTATTCGTCACCATGTGGACAGCTGCGCTGGGGCGTGCTGCACCCAAATATGTGGTAGTGTGTGTTTTTTGGCCCCCCAAAAAGTGTCTTCCTCTCACTAAAAAGTGTGTTCCTCTCTTTTCATGGGCCCCCGTCCTTCCGCTTGCCCTCCCCTCCATCCCTGCCATGCATGTCAGGTGCGCTGGTTGGTACTCCATGCGTACATGACTCGCACCAATCTCTCCCACACCCTTTACCTCTCCCCTATACCCCCGGGTTCGTGCTCCGTGCAGCGAGGTTGTTTTTGAGACGTGTCAAGAACAACCCCTAAACCCCGCGGTTCGTGCTCCCTTCTGTCCTTCATCTTGTGCCCCCCCCCTCCCTACTCCTCCCCCCCCCCGTTCAGACCAGGTCCGTTGGTCTGTACTCCACGCCTACATGACTCGCAACAACCTCTCCCACGCCCTCTACCACTCCCACGCCCTCTACCACTCCCACGCCCTCTACCACTCCCACGCCCTCTACCACTCCCACGCCCTCTACCACTCCCACGCCCTCTACCACTCCCACGCCCTCTACCACTCCCACGCCCTCCACCACTCCCACGCCCTCTACCACTCCCACGCCCTCTACCACTCCCACGCCCTCCACCACTCCCACGCCCTCTACCACTCCCACGCCCTCTACCACTCCCACGCCCTCTACCACTCCCACGCCCTCTACCACTCCCACGCCCTCTACCACTCCCACGCCCTCTACCACTCCCACGCCCTCCACCACTCCCACGCCCTCTACCACTCCCACGCCCTCTACCACTCCCACGCCCTCTACCACTCCCACGCCCTCTACCACTCCCACGCCCTCTACCACTCCCACGCCCTCTACCACTCCCACGCCCTCTACCACTCCCACGCCCTCCACCACTCCCACGCCCTCTACCACTCCCATGCCCTCCACCACTCCCACGCCCTCCACCACTCCCACGCCCTCTACCACTCCCACGCCCTCTACCACTCCCACGCCCTCTACCACTCCCACGCCCTCTACCACTCCCACGCCCTCTACCACTCCCACGCCCTCTACCACTCCCACGCCCTCTACCACTCCCACGCCCTCTACCACTCCCACGCCCTCTACCACTCCCACGCCCTCTACCACTCCCACGCCCTCCTCCACTCCCACGCCCTCTACCACTCCCACGCCCTCTACCACTCCCACGCCCTCTACCACTCCCACGCCCTCTACCACTCCCACGCCCTCTACCACTCCCACGCCCTCCACCACTCCCACGCCCTCTACCACTCCCACGCCCTCTACCAATCCCACGCCCTCTACCACTCCCACGCCCTCTACCACTCCCACGCCCTCTACCACTCCCACGCCCTCCACCACTCCCACGCCCTCTACCACTCCCACGCCCTCCACCACTCCTACGCCCTCTACCACTCCCACGCCCTCTACCACTCCCACGCCCTCTACCACTCCCACGCCCTCTACCACTCCCACGCCCTCTACCACTCCCACGCCCTCTACCACTCCCACGCCCTCTACCACTCCCACGCCCTCTACCACTCCCACGCCCTCTACCACTCCCACGCCCTCCACCACTCTACCACTCCCACGCCCTCTACCACTCCCACGCCCTCTACCACTCCCACGCCCTCTACCACTCCCACGCCCTCTACCACTCCCACGCCCTCTACCACTCCCACGCCCTCTACCACTCCCACGCCCTCTACCACTCCCACGCCCTCTACCACTCCCACGCCCTCTTCCACTCCCACGCCCTCTACCACTCCCACGCCCTCTACCACTCCCACGCCCTCTACCACTCCCACGCCCTCTACCACTCCCACGCCCTCTACCACTCCCACGCCCTCTACCACTCCCACGCCCTCTACCACTCCCACGCCCTCCACCACTCCCACGCCCTCTACCACTCCCACGCCCTCTACCACTCCCACGCCCTCTACCTCTCCCGTGTACCCACCTGCTCGTGCTCCCTCCTGACCTTCCTCTTGTTCCCCCCCTCCCTCCCCTTCTCCCCGTTCACGCCAGGTGCGCTGGTTTGTGCTGCATGCCTACATGACTCGCAACAGCCTCTCCCACGCCCTCTACCTCTCGCCAGACGTCCTTCTCTTTGCCAACGCCACCGAAGCTATCAACCAGGTCCGGCACTTCAATTCATTTTCTGCATCTCAGTCCACCCAACAACCATTTTCTGCATCTCAGTCCACCCAACAACCATTTTCTGCATCTCAGTCCACCCAACAACCATTTTCTGCATCTCAGTCCACCCAACAACCATTTTCTGCATCTCAGTCCCTTATTTCCTTGTTTTGATCCTTACACCATGCCCCACTCCCCTGCTACCCTTCCCAATTCCCCCTTTTCCCCCTCCCCTTTTTTCCCTTCACAATTTCCCCCTTTCTCCCTCCCCCTTTTCTTCTTCCTAATTCCCCCCTTTTCCCCTCCCCCCCTTCCCCATTTCCCCCATTCCCCCGTTCCCCCTTTCCCCCTTTCCCCACTTCCCCCCTCCCACACCTGAACCTGCCCCTAGAACGCCACATCCTCCTTGAGCGTTCTCTCCTCCCCTTAACCCCCTCCTCTCCCCCCCCACTTCTCCGCTTACCCCCCTTCCCCTCCCCTCCCCCCCCACTTCTCCGCTTACCCCCCTTCCCCTCCCCTCCCCCCCCACTTCTCCGCTTACCCCCCTTCCCCTTCCCCTCCCCCCCCACTTCTCCGCTTACCCCCCTTTCCCTTCCCCTCCCCTCCCCAGGGAACCTGCCCCAAGAGCGCCACATCCTCCTCATCCCTTCCCCCCATTCTCTCATCCCCGTCCCCCCTTTCTCCTCTCCTTCCCCCTTCCCCCGCCCCCAGCTGTACCTCCCCCACGAGCGCCACGTGCTCCTCATCCCCTCCCCATTCCCCTCCTCCGATTCCCCCCTCCCCATTCCCCTCATCCGATTCCCCCCTCCCCGTTCCCCTCATCCGATTCCCCCCTCCCCGTTCCCCTCATCCGATTCCCCCCTCCCCGTTCCCCTCATCCGATTCCCCCCTCCCCGTTCCCCTCATCCGATTCCCCCCTCCCCGTTCCCCTCATCCGATTCCCCCCTCCCCGTTCCCCTCATCCGATTCCCCCCTCCCTGTTCCCCTCATCCGATTCCCCCCTCCCCGTTCCCCTCATCCGATTCCCCCCTCCCCGTTCCCCTCATCCGATTCCCCCCTCCCCGTTCCCCCCTCCGCCCTCCCCTTCCCCCCTCCCCCAGCTGTACCTCCCCCACGAGCGCCACATGCTCCTCCCCCAGCCCTTCCCCGGCACGCGCCCCCCTCGCCGCGCCACCGCCCCCCCGCACACTCCCATGGAGGCACACACAGCAGCGTGGTCAATAGAAGGACTGGCGGACTTTCTGAGATTCGTGCGTGTGTTTGTGGCGCAAGGGGTGCTGGGTGGCGGGGAGGAGACTCCTGCAGAGCGACTAAAGAACCCGGTGAGTTGAGCTGGTGGGGGGAATTTCCCCACGCTATAGCCCCCCACACACCCCCCGCACACTCCCATGGAGGCACACACAGCAGGGTGGTCAATAGAAGGACTGGCGGACTTTCTGAGATTCGTGCGTGTGTTTGTGGCGCAAGGGGTGCTGGGAGGGGGGGGGAGGGGACACCTTGAGAGCGGTTGAAAAACCCGGTGAGCTGCTGTGGTTAAGCTGCTGGGCTGGGAATTCCCCACGCTAAGGCTCACCTCCCCCCTGCACACGCCCACGGAGGCGCACACGGCTGGATGGTCGATAGAAGGGCTGGGGCCCCTGCAGAACGACTCAAGAACCCGGTAAGTCATGCTGAAATCATAAGGCCTTGACCTGCCCAAGATGCTGCAGATTGTTTTCGAGAAAATTTCAAAAACGATCTGCAGCACGCGGTGAGTTGTGCATAAAAGGCCTGCTCATTCCCTCTAACCTGCCCAAAGTACTGCCTCAACCTCCCCTTCCCCCCACCCCCCCCCCCCCCCCTCCCCCCCCTCACACAGCCCTGGTGACAGGGGGGTGGGCACAGCGACGGCTTGCTCCTTTGTTGCATCTCCAGTCCTAGAATATGGCACTGCCTCGTGCTCTCACTCTCACTCACTCTCACTCACACGCACACTCAATCACTCACACTCACACTCACACTCACTCACTCCTCATTCCCACTCCTACTCCCGCTCACCTTCACTCCCACCCAACATTACCCTCTCCACACCCTATGGACTACTTTATGGCGCCACCATGCTGGGACGGTACACCCAGCATGACGCCACCATTCTGGGACAGTATGTATGCTGGCACACCCCTGCAGTGCTGAAGCCTCCTCTGCATGTAGAGAGTGAGAGTGTGAGTGAGAGTGTGAGTGAGTGAGAGTGTGAGTGAGAGTGATCCCACAACACACCCCTGCAGCTGAGCCGTGTTGTGGGATCACTCTCACTCACACTCTCACTCACTCACGCTCCCACACGCATCACACCCACTCATCCTCCCCTCACACATCCGCAGGACTACTCAGACGCCACCAAGCTGGGATGGTACACACACCATGCATGCTGGCATGCTCCTGAAAGTGCCGAGGTCTCCCCTGCTTTTGCAGAAAAGCCAAGTTTCAAAATCACTCTCATTCCCACTCATCTCATTCCCACTCACTTTCACCCTTCCAGGACTACTCAGACGCCACCATGCTGGGATGGTACGCCCACCATGCATGCTGGCACGCCCACCATGCATGCTGGCACGCCCACCATGCATGCTGGCACGCCCACCATGCATGCTGGCACGCCCACCATGCCTGCTGGCACGCCCACCATGCCTGCTGACACGCCCACCATGCCTGCTGGCACGCCCACCATGCCTGCTGGCACGCCCACCATGCCTGCTGGCACGCCCACCATGCATGGTGGCACGCCCTTGGGATCACTCTCACTCTTACTCAAGCTCACTTCCACCCACCGGCCTCCTCTCTCCCTTGTGCAGGACTACTCGGATGCCACCATGCTGGGGTGGTACGCCCACCATGCCTGCTGGCACGCCCCTGAGAACGCTGAGGCCTCCCCTGCATGCGCCGCTGAGCCGTGTTGTGGGATCACTCCCGAGAGGGCTGCCAGGCTGGCTGGCCGCTTCACACCCCGGTGAGTGGCCGTGTGTGCATGGAGAGGGTCTGCACACCTGACCAAGGTGACTTGTGTGTGGGAGTGTTGAGGCTGCCCATGCATGCGCGGCTGAGTTGTGGGATCACTTGCGAGAGGGCTGCCAGGCTGGCTGGCCGCTTCACACCCCGGTGAGTGCCCGTGTGTGCATGGAGAGGGTCTGCACACCTGACCAAGGTGACTTGTGTGTGGGAGTGTTGAGGCTGCCCATGCATGCGCGGCTGAGTTGTGGGATCACTTGCGAGAGGGCTGCCAGGCTGGCTGGCCGCTTCACACCCCGGTGAGTGCCCGTGTGTGCATGGAGAGGGTCTGCACACCTGACCAAGGTGACTTGTGTGTGGGAGTGTTGAGGCTGCCCATGCATGCGCGGCTGAGTTGTGGGATCACTTGCGAGAGGGCTGCCAGGCTGGCTGGCCGCTTCACACCCCGGTGCGTGGAGGAGACTGAGGGGGATAGAGTAGGAGGGACACAGGAGAAAGTGGAGAGGAGGGAAACTGGGTGGAGTATGGGGGTGGGAGAAAAGGAACGAAAGTCCATATGCTTTGTTTGCCTGTATTGGTGAGTATATTTTCTCTCTTACTCTCTCAACCCTGATCCTGTCCAGGTTCAATGTATCGAGCTTGCTGCAGCCTCGCCGATGCCAAGCTACATCGTGGTCAGACGACGGGTGGTGTGTTTTCTCAGTCTATCCATTTTCTCCGTCCACAAGTGACATGTCAGCATCTGGAGGGATCTTCCAGCCAGCTCAACGCCTCTCGTTTCATCCTAAACAAGGCATGAAGCTTCCACGCTCAGTAAAGTATCGGTACTTTGTTCATTGGAAGCCACGAGGAGACGATGGAGAGGTGGTGAAAGGTCCAGGTGCCCATGGGGTGCAGTTTTTGTCAGTGCGCTTTGCAGGTGACGCTGCGAACCAAATTAGTGAAGACCCCGAATCGACATGGGGAGCTGCCGATTTTTCCAATGAGAAGCAGGCTGGAATCCTGAAAGTAGGATCTGTTGGAGCCAGGATGAGGGATAAATATTAATGTAAGCTGATACCAGGTCGGTAGGTACTTAGGCTTTGTTATTGAAATACTGTACCGTAGAGGCATTGCAAGTTCTCGAGCAGAAGAAAGTCGCGTTCAGCCCAGAGTCAAGCTTTGTGCCACATCAGCAACGTGTTGTGAGTACCTGACTCGCGTTACGGATGTGTACAGCGTGGCGGCTTTAGCCGCCAATACAGCATGTCCCAGCCATCCACCGTCGTCAGGCTGTGCTCTTTCCACGTGTGAATGGGAAAGGGACGTCCGGCGCGAATGGCACCGGCCCGTGTAACTAGGCGAATGGTTGCGAGAGAAAGAAAGGGCCAGGGCCACTCGAGAACCTTGCTGGCGAAGCATTATCGTGGTTGTGCCTTTTCGCGATGGAGAACGAAAGCTCAAACGCGGTAACTTGAAGTCGTAAGGGTCGGTGAGCGACAAATTTGTTGGTTGTTCCTAGAAAATCTGCCAGCACAGCACCAACCACCACAACCACCACCCGGCGCGCTGCACTTTTTCTCAATCAGGCTGGGTACTGTGGATACAACAAGGGACCAGAATGAGCTCGAATGCGCTAGAATGGTTCCGATCATTTTAGTAGTTTGGTTCGGTTGGTAATGGTTTGGAAAGCTCATGACATGCCATACTGAACTTGTCCAGATCTTTGGGCATACAAGGTATACTGATCTATCATTTCCGTCACAGCTCTGCATTTCCCGCGTTGACGTTTTAATCCACGACTTCGGTAGCCTTTTCTGCTGCGCGCACAGAGCGGTGTTGCCCGTCATCGGCCGTCGACTTGGGTAGAGTAAGCGGGCTGCGCGCGGTTCGCGGGAGACGATACAGAGCTGCGCTCTCAGATCGAATCTCGCCATTATGGCGTCATCTCTCGCTGCAGCTTGCGGCGCTGACGTCATTGTTCCCGCTCGCCTGCACCCCGTTTCGTCGCAATGTTCGCACTCGGCGTCTTCGGCGATCGCAGTCGTTCAAAGCCGTCGCACGCTGCCGGACGGCCGTCGCAGAACGACGTTTTGGGGATTCGGAGATTCTCTGGATGTAAACAATATCCCGAAAACCAAAATTTCAAATTTTAGCTGTCAAGCAGTTCGGTTGACGGTGACGTGCGCAGCGGGGGGAGGCGCAGCGGGTACCGGCGGAGCGGGAGGGGGAGAGTCAGGCGGGGCGGCAACGTCGACGAGCGACTCCTTCCTGGGGATGTGGAAGCGCGCGCAGGAGAGGGAGCGCGAGGCGGTTCGCGAGGCCGAGGCGCGGAAGCGCGCGGAAGAGCAAGGCGCGGCGCCAGCGGCAGCGCAAGCGGCGGGGCAGGAGCAGGGGAAGCAATCTGGGGAGAGCGCGGATGTGGTGAAGAAGCGCGAGGCGCAGTTCCTTCAAATGCTCGAGGTACCGGGGTGTGGCACTATCGAGTGCTATCCAGGTATGCTATAACGAGGCGTGACGATCTCGAGATGTAACGATATCGACGTATGGCGTCGACTTTCGGAGTTGTTGTTGCTGTTTTTTTCAGAAGCATAAGGCGGGGTACCCAGTATGATTCTTGTAGGTGCTTCCTCTTTTTCCGTTCGTCTTGCCCGCATGTAGAAAGTGGTTTTTTTAGGCGTCTCAAAAAATCATTTTCAGAAGCATAAGGCGGGGTACCCGTCAGTATAATTCTTGCAGGTGCTTCCTCTTTTTCCTTTCCGCTTGCCCGCCCATCCCGCTCTCCCGCACTGGGAGCCCCCGGCCTCCGTTCCGCGGCCGCCGCTCACGCGCTCGCACGAGTCAGACCGCCAAGGAATCTCGCCGAGCGGCGGAAGGGAGGGTAGTTCGTGGCTGACCGCACAGTTGCGCGCGGGCAGTCCGGGGCTGACCGCACAGTTGCGCGCGGGCAGTCCGGGGCTGACCGGACAGTTGCGCGCGGGCAGTCCGGGGCTGACCGCACAGTTGCGCGCGGGCAGTCCGGGGCTGACCGCACAGTTGCGCGCGGGCAGTCCGGGGCTGTCCGCACAGTTGCGCGCGGGCAGTCCGGGGCTGTCCGCACAGTTGCGCGCGGGCAGTCTGGGGCTGTCCGCACAGCTGCGCGCGGGCAGTCCGGGGCTGTCCGCACAGTTGCGCGCGGGCAGTCCGGGGCTGACCGCACAAGCAAAGCTGCTATCTTGTATCTCTCTTTCCGCCCCCCCTTCCGCCCGTCCCCCTGCGCGCGTACGCAGGTGCCCAAAGAGGTGCGGCAGGAGGCGGAGCGGAAGGCCGTGGTGGATCGCGCAGCCGCGGCGCTGGCGGCGGCGCAGGCGCTACTGGTGGAGGCGGAAGAGCGCGCGCGCAAGGACCGGCAGGCCTCGCGCGGGCGGCGGCTGGCGGGCGCGGGGGATCAGGGGGCGGCGAGCAGCGTCTGGGGCGGCAAGTCCTTGTCTGTAGTGAAGGAGAAGGGCGGGAAGAAGGGCGGGGAAGGAAAGGGGACGGCAGGGGGAGCAGCGGCAACGGCTAAACCAGTGGGTGGTTCTGCTGCAGGTGCAAAGGCAGGTGCAGCAGCAGCAGGAGGAGGAGGTCTTTGGAAAGCCATTCCTAGCCGTGCTAAAAAAGCATCGTCCTCTTCTTCCCCCTCTTCCTCCTCTTCAGCAGCCGTAGCAGCAACAGCAGCCGCCGCACCAGCAGCAAAGCCCGCTCCCTTTCCCTCCTCTTCCTCTTCCTCTGGTTCCGCGAAGCAGCCTTCCTCAGGCGCCTCGTCAGGTGTTTCTTCAGGTGGTTCCAGCAGTCCGGGGCCCAGCTTCTGGGAGTGGGCGCCCCCATCCGACACCACCCCCTCGCGGGGCGCAGGAGGCGGAGGAGGCGCGGGTCTCCCGCAGCTGCAGCCAGCTGCCCCGAAACCTGCCCGTTCAGCTGCCCAGCGCGCTACAGTAACCATCGCGGACCCCCAGCCGCAGCTGTTGGAGGCGCTGCTGCTGCCCTTCGAAAGCGCCGTCGCGCCCACCAAGCCCGCCAGCGCTGGCGAAGCTTCTACCACTGCCGGTGGCGTCAGTGGTGCCGGTGGTGTTGGTGGTGCCGCTGGTGGTGCTGCCGGTGCTGCTGGTTCTGCTGCTGCTGCTGCTGCAAGCACTGCGGCTGTTGCATCTGCAGCAGCGCTCGATCTCGCCTCCGCCTCGCCATTCCTCGCATCTGACGTGGGTCTGCCGCCCCTGCAGTCCGCTCTTGAGGCTCAGCGCGGCATCAAAGAGGCTCTCCAGGCCGTCTTTGCTTCGGACGCTGCCGAACCTGCAGGCTCGGAAGCCGACGGGGCGACCGTAGCTGCGGACGGGTCGCGGTGGTGGAAGGAGTCGGGCACGGAGGTTCGGGAGGGCGGGGAGGTTTGCGATTGGACGGTGGTTCGGGGTGTGAGCGCGGATGGGTCGGTGGAATGGGAGGAGAAGTGGTGGGAGGCTAGCGATGAGTTTGATTTCAAAGAGCTAGGAGCGGAGAAGTCCGGGAGGGATGCGAATGGGGCTGTGTGGAGGGAAACGTGGAGGGAGGCGACTTGGCAGGACTCTAAGACTGGGCTGATGCATATTGAGAAGACGGCGGATAAGTGGGGGCAGAATGGGGAGGGTGGCGAGTGGCATGAGAAGTGGTGGGAGCACTATGATGCGACGGGGCGGGCGGAGAAGTGGGCGGATAAGTGGAGCAAGATTGACATGTACACGCCGCTGTATGACGGGCATGCGCACACGTGGCATGAGAGGTGAGTGGGGTGAGATGTGGTGGGGTGAGATGTGGTGGGGTGAGATGTGGTGGGGTGGGGCCATTAGGATGTCACAGGGAAGGCGGATAAGTGGAGCAAGATTGACATGTACACGCCGCTGTATGACGGGCACGCACACACGTGGCATGAGAGGTGCGGCTGGTACAAGCCAAAGTTCTGTGGCGCTGCAATAGTGGAATGGCGTTTGAGTTGCTCGCGAGACATGATTGTCACGTGCACGCCGCTGCATGATGGGGACGCGCATGCATGGCATGATGGGGACGCGCATGCATGGCATGATGGGGACGCGCATGCATGGCATGATGGGGACGCGCATGCATGGCATGATGGGGACTCGCATGCATGGCATGAGAGTTGAGCGAGGAGGACACGAAAGCGGGTCAGGCTAGGCTAGAGAGTGGGGTGGTTATGGTGAGTTGTGCGGAAGAATCAAGGGGAAAGACGAAGTGAGTAGGTGAGTAGGGGTAGCAGGTGAGCAGGTGATGACAGGAGAGGTGCATGAGGCTGAGAGTAGCGTCTAAGTGTTTCGAGACGTCTCAAAACAGCGTGTAAGTGTGGTGACTGGCAGGTGACTTTTGAGTCGACTTAAAAGTCAACATGAGAGGTGGAGAGCAGCGTCTAAGTGTGGTGGCTGGCAGGTGCCTTGCCAACTGATGGCTGAGGGCAGGTGCCTGGCAGGTGCCTTGCCACAATCATGTGGAGGGCATCGTCTGAGTGAGGTGGCTGGCAGGTGCCTTGCCAACTGATCTGATGGTACTTCTATTTCCCTCCCTTTTCACTTCCCCCCCTTCCACTTCCCTTCCTCCCTCCGTGTATCCCAGGTGGGGGGAGGAGTACGACGGCAGGGGAGCGGCGTCCAAGTGGTGTGACAAGTGGGCAGAGCGGTTCGAAGGCCACGATGGGTACGGCAACCAGCTGTGGGCCAAGTGGGGCGACAAGTGGGATGAGAAATTCAACCGAGACAAGACCGGGTACCGGCAGGGGGAGACCTGGTGGCAGGGGTCCGGAGGGGACGATGCCCCCCGGTGGAACAAGGTGTGGAGCGAGGGGCATGACGGGTCGGGGTGGGTGCATAAGAAGGGCGGCGCGAGCAGTGGCGAGGGGTGGGATGTGCGGGAGTGGATGGACACGTGGTTTGATGCTTTCCCGCACTTTGGGTTCAAGCAGTGTCTGGAGAATTCGCGGAGGCTCATGGAGGTGGGGAGGCGGCAGGGCAAGAAGCAGAAGTAGAGGGGTGGGGAGGTGGAGAGAGAGGTGGGATGAGGAGCAGAAAGCAAGATCTGGCGCACAAGTGTGTGTGTGACTGTAACACTTGCCCTCCTATGAGTTCAAGCATTGGTGTGTCGTCGAAGGCGTTCAGGCTTCAAGCAGTGCTTGGAGAACTTGAGACAGTTGATGGAGGTGGGGAGGGGAGGTAGCAGCAGAGGAAGTAGGGAGAAGGGAGAGAGGAGGTCGGTAGTACTGCGATTGTCTTATGGATTGGTCATGGTGCATTCCTGCTGATATGTGTGGCTCTTCGTTGCATCGCTGAGGGCATGCAGATGGATGGTGATGGTGATGGTGATGGTGATGGTGATGGATGGTGGTGGGAAGGCATGGCATGATAGGATGGGCTGGCTGAAGGCTGCTGTGTCGGGGGAGCATGCATGCATCACGACAGTGTTCTATACAACCTATTTGATGCCCTGCCCGGGACATGCAGAGTAACATGTTATTGCTTTATGTATTTTGATTTTCTTTCAGAAGCTTGAGGTCTCCCATTTATCTAGTGCCTGAAAGCTGTGCGGTACGGTATCCTGTTCGAAGCTATTTTACGTCAATAGAGCCTAGAAGGTGACACTGGTACACCTCCACACGTCTGGTCATCTGCCTTGGTTGGCCCACACACCCACCCACCCACATCAACCCCATCATTCCTCACAATCCGCAACGAGCATGTCGGGCTTTAAGCACCCTGCGCTTCTCAAAGAAGCAGCACTGTATTTGTTTTATTATGACACATTCTGTCAACAGTCAAGCCCCATTTATTGCTTCTTGCCACCGATGCCGATGACCTTGAAGGCACCATAGGCTGTGGCGCCCAGGAGGAAAACAGCCACGGTGGGGGAGAAAGCGGGATACACGAGATCCATTGCCAGCTGATCCAGCTCCTCCGATAGGAAGCCTGCACAGGGGCAGGGTGGGGTGAACCGGGTGGGGAGAGGTTTGGGGCGATGAGATGGTATGGAGAGAAGGCGGGATACACCAGGTCTATTGCCATGTGACCCAGCTCCTCCGATAGGAAGCCTGGAAGAGATTGGGGAAAACCGGGGAGGGGAGGGGGCGGGGAGGGGAGGGGCGGGGATGGGAGGGGGCGGGGAGGGGAGGGGCGGGGGGAGGGGAGGGGCGGGGAGGGGAGGGGCGGGGGAGGGGAGGGGGCGGGGAGGGGAGAGGCTTGGGGTGATGAGATGGTAGGGAGATAGGGCGGGATACACGAGAATCCATGGCCATCTGATCCAGCTCCTCCGATCGGAAGCCTGGGAGAGGCGATGGGCAACAGGAGACGAACGGGGAGGGTTGAAAATGAGCTTATCAAAAGAGAGTGCTTCTTTGAGGCGCCTCAAAAAACGATTCTCCAGAGGGCCCAGTTGACCTTCCAAGCCTTCCACCCAGTTCCCCCCTTACATCCCCTCCCTCTGCACACCCCCTTCCGCCCACTCTCTTCCAGTCGCCCCTGCCAACCTTTCTGCATTACCCCGCATTGCACGCATCAGCAGCGGCAAGGAGGAGCCCTTGGAGGATGATGAGGAAGAACACGAACCCCAGCGACGCCACCACGGCCGTCTCAGTAGGGTGCGTTATCAGCCCTCCCAACAAACCCTGCCACACCCTCAATGCCCCCCCACACCCCCTCCCCTTCCTGTTCCTTTCCCCCCCTTCTCCTCCCCGACGTCCAAGTCTCCCCCTCCCATTTTCCTGCACTGCACTCACCGGCGGCGGCGAGAAAGAGCCTTTCGAGGACGATGAGGAGGAAGACGAACCCTAAGGACGCCACCACGGCCGTCTCGATAGGGCGCCATATCAGCCCGCCCGACCAACCCCGCCATCCCCACAAGCACCCCCCACGCCCCCTCCCCTTCCTCTTCCCTTCCCCCTCCCAGCCCCACCTCCCCCCCCCCCCCACAACCCCCCCCACACACAAGTCCCCCGCATTGCACGCACCGGCAGCGGCGAGAAACAACCCTTCGAGGATGATGAGGAGGAAGACGAACCCTAAGGAAGCCACCACGGCCGTCTCGATCTCCGCCGCCTTCTTCTCCTCCTCGCCCACCGGCCGAGTCGACAGCAACGGCTGAGACGGCGCCGGCCGCCGAACCACTGCCGGCTGCTGCGGCGCCTTCCCGAACCCCTTGCCGGCCGCTGGCTTGCCAGCTGCTGCCTTGCCAGCTGCTGGCTCCTTCACTGCTGACGTGGATGAAGAGTCGGAGGTTTGGGATGGTTCAGGCTCGGCGGAGGCTCGGATGCCTAGAGGCCTGGATGGTCCGGACCGAAATGTGAGATTTGAAGCGGGGTTAGGTACGGTTAGGGGAAAGCGACATCTTGAAGAAGTGAGGGATGCAGGTGATTGGTGGAGGGCAAGGTTGGCGAGAGACATGGAGACGGCCATGTGGGTGCAATAGAATTGTAAGCGCTAACTTGGAGGAAAAGTAGGCTAGCGACGGGATAAAGCCTGGTTACGCCCAAATGTCTAGCCTCGAAATGTAGTTATGCGTGAAGGAACTACACCTAACGAGTTTTTACGAAGTAACCAAGCAATGGCTTTGGGCGTTTCGAGCTCGTGAGAATGTGATCCTGGATTCTAGAGATAGTGGAAACTGATGTGAAGATCACAGAACGACACACAAGGCATTGCTGAGGAGTGTTTGTCAGGTGAATGACATGAAACAAACGGTCAAAACGAGGAAAATGCGTCATCCCATGTCTCGTGTGAGTGTCCCTGAGACACATGACTAGGGGGTGGGTTCAATATGATGTGTGTACTTTGTTTCTATTGTCGGTTCGTGAAACAGGGCTTGGATTCGTTTTGTAATGGATGACACACGGATTCCAAAAGCCAATGGGAGAGAAGAACGTGGATATTCCCGAAGCTCGCAAACCGATTATAGCGGCTCCAGTACAGACGTCAAAATTACGGCTGCTGTAAAAAAATACACCCTAGTCTGTACAAAACAAGTATTAGTTCGAAATCTCAAAGCATGGTGAAATCCATGTGGGCCTCATAACAGCCCAACACTAGTCCTGATTCCTGGGTCGCCCTACAGTTCGTTTCTCCAGCATTCTCTGCTGACACAGCTGGAAGTGCTGAAGCCCATTCCTCCTGACTCCGAACAGAGATTAGTCACTCCGTTTCATACTTCTTAGGGGTCTCGCTCTGCCCTTCCTCCCTCTTATCGAGCCCAGGAGCGAACTTTCCCCCTGCTCGTTCACCAGATTCTTGCCCTCCTGGCCGGATCAGTCGCTCCCCTGTCTCAAACTCCATGTCCAACCTGTCATCACCGTGCACCAGCGACATGAAACAGCAGCACCAGGAATTATATCAGATATGTACTACGAGGGAACAAAACAATACAATCAAACAAACAAAAACCGAGCATACTTAATCTGTTCCTCTGCCTTCTTGGCCGCCGGGCGTGGCTCCTGCTTCACGCGTTCTGCCATGGTCACACCTAATCGGCAATTCCTCAGAAGGAAGATCGTGTATTGTCTATTGGAGGAGAGTAATCGCGACGAGGCGCACACCGTTCAGCGTTCAGGCTCACGAGATCAACCAGAACCAGGTAGACGAACAAAATTCTCTGCTTCTGAGGAATTGCCGAGTGGCCTCATCTTCCCGCCTCGGATGCCAGAAGTCCTCCATTTCGGAGCAGTCGGTCTCTCTGGCTCGGTACCAAACCTAGCATCCGGAATCGCCCTCTTCGCAACGCCGGTTCTCGCGAGTCGAGAGTGAGCCCGCCCACCTCACGAGCTTTCGCGCGAGGTCAGACGCAAGTGTAGTAGCAAATGTGTTTAATCGGCCACGCGAAGCGTTGAGCGAAACTCCACCACAGCAGTGCATGCTCGACGCCCCACAGCTGCTGGCGATCATGCAGACGGCTTGGTTTGGTTGGAATCGCGAGCACAGAAGTCTCCAGCTGGGCTTTGCCAGAAAGGTGCTTCGCCTCGGCACAACAACCAAGCAAAATGCAGAGGAGGGGAAGCGGGAAGCTAAGTGGTCGTCGTTATATCTGGGTGACTTGTACAGTAAAATAAGGGAAGCGGGCACTGTACATTGCAGGAAAAGTACACCTCCAATCTGTCACACAGAAGCCTGATCCACCTGTTCGGTAAAAGAACATTCTCCTCCAATCTCCCTCGTTCCTTCCCCCCACGTGGAGAGACCACACCACACACTTCACCTGTTAGTTAGAAGCCCACCCCCAGCCAGCCGTCTCTGTCGGCTCCGCCTGGTCGGCATGGGCAGTAGTACAGCAAACTTCCCCTCCAAAATTGCAAGTCCACTTCCCACCCCGCTAAGCGAGTTATCTGGAGTGTAGCCACAGCCAGTTTTTCAGGAACCGCGGGAGTAATACAGCGGTCACACAACTCATACTACGCTTGGATGTGAAACCTGAAAGGTCTTTCTGGTTGTGTCGGCGACATTGAGCCAAACAAAGCACGACAATGCTGAAGGTTGCGACGATTCGCGAGTTTGACAGCAACCGTCGCTCCAGGCGAGCTCCTGCGCGTGGTCGTTACGAAAAAATCGCCCAATGGCAGTCCCTCGAGCTCTCCGACTGCAGCAGCAGCGGCAAAAGGGAGGAACTGCGAGCTCGAGAGGCTTCGCAGCAGCCAGGGAACGTGGTGGTCATACTTCCCATAGTCACGGCCTCAGTCACGCGCGCGCACAGCCACGTCCATCATCATCATTCCCAATACAAACCAAAATGGCCACTCGGTAAGTGCAGCAGCTATTGCGGCTAATTGCGGCAAATGGCGTGCAGCCTATCGTGCAGTGTGTCGCATTTTCGTTCTTCCTCGTCATCTACCCCCCCCCCCCCCCCCCCCCCCCCCCCCCCTCCTTCGCCCCCTCCATCGTACCCGATTCAGTGTGACTCCGTTAACGCAGGAGGAGAAGGACGAGCTGGAGGTGGTGAAGACCCCAGGCCTGCTCGCACCCATGAGCATTTCAGTCAGGCAAATGGTGATTGACGCGTGGAGATCATTTGCGGGAGAGAGCAATTCATGCAAAAAGAAATTAAAGATTACCTGACTGGCATTGGAAAGACGTGGGAAGATTTTGCTGTCACTTTAGTCCGATGCAGGCACCTTAGTTCTGTCACTTTCATGAAAATTTTGCTGTCCTTCCTATGGAAAAATCTCCATTCACGAATTTCACCCTCCCTCCCTCGTTACGTCCCTACTCCTGCTCCCTGGCGCAGCCCGACAATCCCGAGGAGTTTGAGAACCTTGGCTCCATGCGCACGCGCTTCTCCCCAGCCCTCGTCTACAACCTTCTCAGAAACTTCGAGGATGCTCCACGTGTTTTAAGAACATCGCCCACTGTGACGTGGACCCACTGGAAGAGCCTGGCACCTTTAGAGTCACACAGCACGTCAAGTGGCGCTTCCTGTTTCTCTCCGGCACATTCGCCACCACACTCATCTGCCAACGAAATGATGGAGCAAGATCAGTCAATTTCACACTGTAAAGATTCTCTCACCCTTCTCTCTGCACTTCTCTCTCTTTTGTACTCTCTTCTCCCTATGTTGTTCTAACTGTAGTCGCCTCTCACTGCATGCTGCCCAATGGCATCTCTTATTTTCGTTTCGCTGCTGCATCACTTCACTCTTACCAGGGCGGAGCCTGGCTTTATGAAGGCTTTCAAAGGAGGCTGGACTATTCACGACCTGAGCCCTCCCAAGCCGTTGCCCCTTGCACCTCCATCTACTCCGCCTTCCAAGGTAGCTCTGAAGCCCAGCTTCCTTCAGTCGCTGGCAGCAGCACTTCCAGGGGCGGCTGCCACAGCAGCTGAAACAGCAACTCCTTCTGGGGTTGCTGAAGGAGCAGGAAGTGGGATGCCTCCTAGCGGGTCGCTGATTGAGATGTGGCAGCTGTCTCAGCCTGCAATGGTTCCCCCTCGACCACTTTGTGAGTGTTCATTCATGTTGCACAAAGGACCACTCTAGATTTTCAGTTGCCGATGTAAAAATTGCATCATTTTTTTGTTCTGCATTCTAATAATTGTGATGACTGGTCCAACCTTCCTGGTTATTGCAGTGCCCTATGTTTATGGCATCATGTCAACCAGCATGCGAGCGATTTTTTCAAGACTTGTGTGTTGAGGCTGACCGAGTTGAGCGGTTGGAAAATTACTCATCTTCCCAGTCTCAGTCAAACATTCTGGTTTCAACTTAGGTCTAACACTAGCTCCAACTTAATTTATAAATGCCTCACCTTGGCATGTACTTGTACC